CGGGCCGTCGGAGAAATGGGAGACCCGGGGTCGGAGGTGAGTGTGCGGGCAGCGGGCCTCGGCGGCCCGAGCCGATCCTCGAAAGGGTTTGCGCGTCCCTCGGCGGAGGCCTGCGGCTCGGCCGCACGCGCGGGGCGAGGCTGCTTCAGCATCGCGGGCCGAGCCCGCTCCTGGGCCTGGCGTCCGTCGGAGCGAGGAGCCAGCAGCCACAATGGCCTCCCGGCCCTGCACAGGCTCCAGAGCCCCTTGTCGGTCCTGCTCGGCCAGCAGAGCGGCCTTTCGAGACAAGGTTGCTCCGAAGAAGTGAGCGCGCCCTCGCCCTTGCTCGTGGTGGGGGCAGAGGTCCTGGGAGGATGGAGGGTAGGAACCCGTGTTCAGCGGGTCAGCCCACCCCTGCCCACACCGCTGTGCCCGAACCGGGCTCCTCCACGGACGGGGTTGGTGTGGAGTTGTGCCGCTGGGCGTTGCTTGTACCTTTCGGGGAAATCTCAACCTGCAAGTATGAGGCTGTAAAGATGAGCATGTTTTGGCTTATTTTTGTAGATGATAGAATCTGCCCGTCCAGCTGGGCCTGAGGCATCAGAGTCAACCATGGATGAAAATGAAGATGACATTCAGTTTGTTAGTGTAAGTAGCCATGGCCCTCGTTTCCCCCAGAGTCAAAGACGACGGTAAGCTCTTAGGTAGTTACACCACTCCTGTTTGCCGCCGTCTAATTCCTTTTAGACTCCAAGACTGAGGTGGTGTGAAGCCTGGCCATCTGGATTAGGAATTTACCAAGAGAGGGATCTGAGTCAGGAAGGAGTCATGACAAAGACCATGCCCTAAAGCACATGCTGTATGTTTATGTCTCCTGGCTGCATTCAGAGCCACTTTACACTGTATTTAGACAAAATGCTGGTCCCAAGAGTGTTTGGGAACGGGGCAACAAGATCTTCTAAAAGATGGCACACAAAGGACTTGATTCACATGGAGAAGGGACACCAAAGTACATTGGGGCAAAGGTAACAATTTCTCTACATCCACGCAAAAGTAACAAATTCTCTGCCATCTAGTCAGTTCTGTCTCACAGCAACCACAATAGGCATCACAAAGACAATGCTGTATAGGTAATTAGGAACCTCCTGCCTTCATTTGAGACAGCGGTTTCCAACTTTATTTGACCTTTTGGGGGGAAAAAATTACTCCACGCCACTCTGGCAATTAAAACTTTTTGGACCATAGCCCATAATCCCAGATCAAGTATATGTATCTGCATTTGCACCCCGCTGCCCCAATGCATTGCTCTCCAGGGGCTTGTATTGCTGTTTTGGAAAGCACGATTTAAAGCCATTTTACACTTAATTTAGAAAAAATTTTGGTCTCTTTTACTATTTTGGAATAGGGCAAGAATATCTTCTAACTGATAACACATAGAGGACACGTGTACCACATAGAGAAAGTGCTAACGAAAAGAGGGTAAAAAAGGGTTCCAAGAACTCAATGTGTAGCATTATGTCACTAAGGTGTAAGGTGAGGTACAGTGTCCTAATGAAAGACTGCCGATCTTTGAGATCACCATGTTACAACATATAGAGCGCTTCACAAAGTTCTTGGAGAAATGCAATTTGAAGATAATGGACTTATTCCATGCGTCTTTTGAAGCCCCTCGTGTCATTAATGTCATTAATTTGGATCCCGAGTCATCAAACATGCTCTGTTTTTCTGAGTTTATTCTCCTTAGGAGGGTAGTTTTCAAGCATTAGTATGTGCCAATGTGCAGATTCCCAGACTTCACTTAAAACCTGCTTGATCAGAATTTCAAGTGAGGCTTAGTGTGGTTTCCTGAGTTATTCGATATGGCCCTTCTAGCTGTAGTCTTTGTGCCTCCCAGTCAGTGACTGGGGAGGACCATGCAAGTAGGATGTGCTTGTTCATCCAAAAGGACCAGTTAGCTTGCTAGTAATGTAAGTAGGGGCCATGGCACCTTTGTGGGAGTAGAACCAAGCAAATAAGATATAGGGTGCGATGCTCCCCTTTTACATTACTAGCAAGCTAACCCATGGTTTCAAAGCATGGGCTTGCAGGTGGAATAGGATATCCCTGGTCTCTTGAGGTTTGCTAAAAATTGAAAATGCTGAAACGCATGAGATCCCAATATATGGAGCTATTGCAACAGTGGTAATTCTCGGGTTTTCTTCTACTAGTTTGTGAACTTTAGCCACAGTTTGTTCACTTATCAAGGTTTCTCACATAGCTCATCTTTACCTTCCTTAAAATATATGATCTATGGGAGGGTGGAGGGAAGGTGAGGGAGATAGGGCGAACAGATTACAAGGATTTACATATAACCTCCTCCCTGGGGGACGGACAGTGGAGAAGTGGGTGAAGGGAGACATTGAACGGTGTAAGATATGACAAAATAATTCATAAATTATCAATGATTAATGGGGGATGAAGGAGCGGGGAGGGAGAGGGAGAAATGAGGCGCTGATACCAGTGGCTGAAGTCGAAAGCAAATGTTTTGAGAATGATGAGGGAAACAAATGTCCAAAGTACTTGACACAATATATGTATGGATGGATGGATTGTGATAAGAGTTGTATGAGTCCCCAATAAAATGATTTAAAAATAAAAATATGATCCATAAAACTCTTGTGTTGGGAAGCAAAGCTTCGTCCCTCTCCTCTGGAATCAGGAAGAATAATTCTACCTTACATTTGTTTCACATTTTATATTCTTCACATTGCTTTAGTATTCATGATTACATTTGAGCTTTTGTAAAAGAGGATGTTGAAATGATAGCTTCATTGTACAAACAAAATGAATATCCATTAAGGGAATGCCATTGATCAGTGCAAGAACCAGACCAGACCCCCAAATTACTAACTTCCACATTTTTGGTCTTTTCAGTATAACGAAATGGCATGAAAGCTCTGGCAAGCTGGGTAGCCTGAGAATTAATTTGTCAAATGGGCCTTGCTTGGAAAGACTTTCTGGCTATGGGTTGTGTCTCAGTTATCTAGTGCAGCCATAGCAGAAGTGTCACAAATGGATGGCTTCAACAAACTGAAATATATTTTCTCGCAGTTTAGGAACTAACAGTACAAATTCGGGGTGCTAGTTCTAGGAAAAGATTTTCTCTGTTTTCTGAGGGAAGGTCCCTGTCTACATTAAATGTCTGTTAGCCTCTTGTCCCCAGGAGAACTCTTTGTGTCTTGGCACCAATCTTCCGCTGGGTCTAGCAAGTTCTCAGCATAGGTACTCCCACTTCTCAGCATTGCTCCCAAGTTTTATTTCTTTGTTATAGTCAGGTCATCCCTTTCTCCCCTTATCTATCCTTTTCTCTCTTTTAGAATACTTTTACTGGGGGCTCTTACATCTTTTACCACAATCCATTCATCCAGTGTGTGGAGCACATTTGTACATATGCTGCCATCATCATTTTCAAAGCATTCTCTTCCCACTTGAGCTCCTGATATCAACTCGCATTCTCTTCTTGAGCTTGAGCTCCTGATATCAACTCGCCATTTCTTCCCCGCCCTCCCTCACGCACCCTTGATACATTGTAGATTATTATTTTCATATCTTACATCGTCCTCCGTCCTCTGTTGTCCCTCACCCACTTTTCCTTTGTTCATCCCCCTGAGAGGGGGTTATACGTTGATCTTTGTGATCGATTCTCCCTTTCTTCCCCCACTCTCCCCTAATCCTCCTGGTATCTCTACTCTTATTGTTGGCACTTGGGGGTTTATCTGTCCTGGATTTTTATGCAGTTTTTGTGGTAAAATTAGGTGCCTTGGCTGATATTCGGGTCGGCTTATACTCTAGTATATACAGTAAATCTGTGTATGAACTAGGGAGCCTTGGTGGCATAATGGTTACGAGCTTGGCTACTAACTACAGGGTCAGTAGTTCAAAACCACCAGCTTCTTCTTGGGAGAAAGATGAGGCTTTCTATGGCTATAAGGGTTACAGTCTGAGAAACCCTCATAGCCGTTCTAGTTGGGTTGCTATGAGTCAGAATCTACTCAGTGGCTTTGATTTTTTTTCTTTCTGGATGTATGAACTAGTATGCTAGAATACGATTTAACTTCCCCTCATATAATGTTCATACAAAGAAATGCATTTCCTTCTGTGTACTACTTAGCATCACCATATTTCAGTACTACATTACCAGTACTCTATCTTGTTTCTTGTCTTCCTACATTCCAGACTACCGTGTGTGATTAATTTTGCAACAGAGCTATGGCAGTTAGCTTGGTTTTGTTTTTTGTTTTTCTTTTGTCCTCATTGCATAGCCACACCCTCTGGATCTGTGTATGTGTCTTTTGTTTCTGATAATCCTGTGCCGCCTACAAGACTGTTCTCCTCAGAGGAAGACATGCCAGTCCCATAAGAACAGCCCTGATCGTAACTGCTAATTGCAAACTGGACTTGAGTAATTTGTATGATTTGCTCTCTTTCATTTCAGGAAGGACCATCGAGACCTGTTCTTGAATACGTTGATTTGGTCTGCAGTGATGACAAAGAGCCCACGACTTCTCATAGTAGTGTAAGTACCTTTGATCTCTGTTTCGAGACTTGTCACTTACATGTCATGGGGTGCTGACTGTGGCTGGGACTGACCATGCAAACGAATGGTGAATTTTTAGACATTTTGCAAGTTGGTTGTTAAAAGTAGTCATTATTAAGAGCTAAAGCTTTAAACTTCCAAGTACATAAGTGGACAGTTAAGGTAATACATCCTTAAAACTCATCACTTATTTACAAATATTTGATCTTATGGTTAGCGATGTCTACAGTGGAAGCATTTACATAATAGTAATTGGAAAATATTAAAAATCAGGATTTAGTTTATTTGTTGCTTGCCCAGGCTAGTGTTTCCCCAGGTGGAGGGGCTGGAAGGATCCAAGCAGGTTGTAAAAGCAGACACTTACCCTTCATCCTGGACTATGGGCTATGGTACAAAAGTTCTCATTGCAAGGGGGAGCAGAGCAATTTGGGTTTTTGCCTTAAAGATTTAAGAAAGTCATGGAGCCAATGTAAACCCACGTTTGACTTAAAAGTGTGCTGTGCTTCAAATTGTACATTGTGTACCATAGGAAAAGTTGATGAAATAATCTTATGGCATTCAAATACTGTTTAATGATCCAGCAAGGACATTGTTCTCATTATTGATACATGAGTGAATTCTGATACTTGTCTTTATTGTTTTGCTTTCCTTTTACACATTCTTATAGATGAAAATAACATTCATGTAGTAAATATATTTGTTCACAAATGATAGAAGTTTCTTTGCTAAATTGAGAACTATTCAAACATTTATTGATAGTCAATTTTGGTGACACTGCTGTTGGCTATAAGGAACTATGGTCCTGTTGGGTAAATGATGGACTGCTAATCGCAAGTTAAGCAGTTCAAACTTACCAGGCACTCCACTTTTTCCTCCTACGAAGAGTTACAAGCTTGGAAACTTTAGTTAGGGTCACTGTGAGTCGGAATCAACTCAATGGCATTGGGTGTGGTTATTTTTTTGTTGTTGTTGGCTATCAATGATTTAAAAACTGACACTGGGTGTTTTGTTTTGTTTTTAAAGAAAAATGGAAAGTTACATGGAAGCAATATATATATATAAATTGCAAAGCAAGGGATTATACTTTAAAATTTGTTATTTTTCTTAAAATCATCAATAGAACATTTTACATTAGTCTTAAGTGTTATGATTTTTACTTATATAATGTAAAATTATTTTTCAGATTCTGTTTCCTAAAATGCCAAAATGACAGGGTGATTTATTCAGTTTATTAAATATGAAGAAGGTGAAAACAGACAGAGAAAGTAATGATAGGAACAAAAGTCACTGTGGATCCTCTTAAGCCCATGGGACCAAATTCTGACTATGTTAATGAACCCGTCATTGAAGAACAGCCATCATGCTCATCAGAGAGAGAAATAGATAACCTCGTGCTTCCAGATTATTGGAATGAAAAACAAGCAGTCATGTTTACAGAGCAGTACAAATGGCTTGAAATAAAAGAAGGTAAATTAGGATGCAAAAATTGTTCAGCAGTTCACCATTTGGGCTCAAAAGCAGAAAAGCCTGCCCATGTGTCCGAGGAATGGACTGCATAGTCAATAACCCTAATGGTGGTAATAAAACTACGAGGCCAGCATCTCTGCGAAAAAAAATTAGGGAGCATGATATTTCTAAAGCCCATGGTAAAATTCAGGATTTGTTAAAGGATTCTGCTAATGACTCAATTTCCAATTTAGTGCATACGCAAAATAATAAAAATATTGACACCACTATAAAAGTTTTCAATACAGTTTACAGTTTAGTACAGTGATTCTCAACCTGTGGGCCGCAACCTCTCTGGGGGTCCAACAACCCTTTCCCAGGGGTCACTGAAGACCATCGGAAAACGCATATTTCCAATGGCCTTAGGAACCAAGATACGGCTCTACTATCTGTCTCCAGGTGGGTCCGCCCACATGCAGATACGCCCACATCTGAGTACCCGGAGTGGTGATATCATTGAACCAACCCGATCACATACACCCCGTACAAATACAGGTGTATGTGACAGTGTTGGTGCCATAATGTACTTATGCGGACCAGTCACACATGTGTAGAGAGCAGCTACTGTGCAAAGAGCAGCTGCTGCGCTGAAAAAAGTTAAAAGCATCGACTGTGTTGAAAGCAGCAGAATTGGAAGTAAAATGGCACTTCATGAGTTGTATGAGCCCCCAATAAAATGATTCTTTTAATAAAAATAAATAAATAAATAAAGACACTTCATGAATTATAATTACTGGGTGAATGTAAAATCATGTACTATAAAATCATCAACTACTGCAAAAGTGTATATATATATATATATATATATATATATATATACCATGGGAACTTAATCTGGTGTTGATTGGTCTTTTTATATTCAGCTATGGTTAATGTGAATACTGTATAGTATTCACTTGTATAGTAACAGGTATGTAAAAAAAAACAGTGGTAAATCATAGGAAACTTAATGAACTGTATTGACTGAACTATGCCATGTATTATCTTTTGTATTATTAAAGCTATTGTTATATATTATTTTCATTAGCAAACTATCCCATGACAATGGATCGGGTAGAGAAGAATGTTAAGAAAATATAGGGAGGATATTTTACAGTATGGTTTTACCTTAATAATTACAGCAGGAATTGAGAAACCCTAATGTGTTATTTGTTGTGAAGTTTTATCAGCCAAATGTGTGAAGCCGAGCAAAGTAAAATGCCATTTTGATAGCAAGTATCCGAGCTTTGCTGGCAAGGATACCAGCTATTTTAGAAGCAAAGTTGATGGCCTCAAGAAAGCCAGACTTGATACTGGTGGCAAGTACCACAAACAAAACGTAGCAGTCATTGAAGCTTCATGTTTGGTGGCACTCAGAATCACCTGAGCTATGAAACCTCACACCATTGCTAAGATTTACTGTTGCTAGCGGCCAAAGACATTGTCCAAGTTATGATCAGAGACGAATTTGTTATGAAATTGAGTGTAATTTCCTTATCTAATGACACTGTCCACCGAAGAATAGATGACATGTCTGCTGATATTCTTGATTAGGTATTCCAGGAAATTAAATCTGCTCTACCTCCAATATTTAGCATCCAGCTTGATGAATCTACAGACATTGCAAACTGTTCACAGTTACTGGTTTACGTGAGGTATACTAATGATGGAGACTTTAAAGATGAGTTTCTTTTTTACAAACCTCTTGAAACGACAACTACTGCATGTGATGTATTTGACACAGTTGGTTCATTTCTGAAAGAGCATAAGATCTTTTGGAAAAGGTTTGTGGTGTTTGCACAGATGGTGCACCAGCTATGCTAGCTTATGGATCTGGATTTCGTTTGGTACTGAATGAGTACCAAAAGTCATCAGAACTCACTGTATGATTCACCAGCAAATATTAGCAATGAAGATGCTGCCACAAGAGTTACAAGAAGTAATGAAAAGTGTCATAAGTTCTGTCAATTTTGTAAAAGCGAGCAGTTTAAACAGTCAACTATTTTCGCAACTGTGCAACGAATTGGATGCATTGAACAATGCTCTGCTATGAGAGGAAATGTTTTAGAATGTGTTTTTGAGCTGGGTGATGAACTCAAAATGTTTTTTTTAATCAGAAAGCAAGACCGCAGTTCGAAGCACTTTTCAGTGATAAAAGTGAACTGCAGAAAAGAGCTTACTTAGTTGCCATCTTTGCCATCTTGAATGAGTTCAATTGATCACTGCAAGGACCAATGCAACATGCCTCGATTTGTCTGAAAAGATCCTATCATTCCAAATGAAACTTCAGCTTTGGCAAAAAAATGGTATGAAAATAAAATTTACATCATGCCCACCTTTTCTGCTTTCTTTGAGGAACATGACATTGAACCAGACAAAACAATTACGATGTCCAACGTGGATACTCCCGAGTGATCACTCTCCCCGGGCTCTGTCCAGGTGGCATAGAGGAGCACAGGGCTCAGTGCCCCATGATGTACAGTCCTTTGCCACAACGTTGGAGATCAAGCCAGGCCTTGAGTCTGCACCTGCATATTCCTACAGCTTTTCAGAGTCCCGTGGACAGTGACTGAGGAGACAAACCATGCAGGGAACAGGTAAAGAAAAAAAAGGATTGCGATGAACATTTCTGTGAAAGAACACTTGCACATGCTTGCAGCTGAAATTTCATTGTGCTTTCCAAATCTACCTGACACCCCATTTACACTTGCCAGAAGCCCGTTCACTGTCAAAGTTGAAGCTGTACCTGAGATGCACAAGAGGAGTTCATTGAACTTATTAACAGCAATGCAGCGAGAACGGATTTCTCTACCATGCCAGTTACAAAATTCTGGATTAAGTGTTTGCACTCATATCCTGTTCTGTCACTGTGCTTTAATTATGTTCAATTTATAGCAATGAAAATACATCCTGCATGTCAGATATTTACATTATGATTCATAACGACCAAAATTACACTTATGAAGTAGCAACGAAAATTATTTTATGGTTCATAAGCACATGAGGAACTGTATTAAAGGGTCACGGCATTAGGAAGGTTGAGAAGCACTGGTTTAGTAAAACATAATAGACCTTTATCTGATGTTGAGTGGGCAATAGAACCACAAGAAAAAAATGGGGAGGTCAATTGTTTAAATACAAGAATAGCAGAACATATTGCAAAAGAAATGAAGATATTTAAGATTATAGAAGCGAATACCAAGGTGTGTGTCCCAATTGCTGAGGCAGCTTCAGTTTCAAAGAATAGCACCTTACCAATTATGTTATTTGTTGCTCTGAAAGAATTGGTTGCAACTACAGCACAGTGTATTTTCAGTACACTATTGGCTGCTTTAAATGATTGTGGCTTTACTAATGAATATTTTAAGGTAATTTAATTGGGTTTTGTTCTGGTGGTGCTAATACAATGCTGGGAAGAAAGTCTGGTAGCCACAAAGTTGTTAGAAAATTTTCCTGAAACTGTCATTTGGGACTGTTGAAATCATCGATTGCAATTGTCACTAGATTATTCATTATCTGAAATAAATCAAGTTAATCATTTAAAAATATTTTTGGACAAAATTTATGCTATTTACCACCAATCTCATAAAAGCCAAACTAGGCTTTTAAGAACTGTAGATAAAGAACTTGAAATAGAAATTACTAAGATCGGTCAAGTAATGGGGCCAAGATGGGTGGCATGTAGTCTATCGGCTGCTACTGTGGTGTGGCATGCATATCCTGTACTATACAGACATTTTTCCCATTCTTACTCAGGTTTGGCAAAGAGATTAGCTAACAGTAACTTTTTGCAAGACCTTCCTTTAACAATTGACATCCTTGAAGAATTTTCACTCCTTTCCACTGACTTGCACTCAAGAGCAACCAACATTCAGAAAGCACAAAAACTAATCAAACGCACCACAAGAGCTTTGGAAAGTTTAAGAATGCTATTGGAAAGCATAAATCTCAACTTGAAAATTTACATAAGTTAGACAAGTTTAAAGACATTCCATTTAATAAGTGATCAATTTAATGCACTTCCGAGGACTATGCTGCTGGAAAACATAATTAAGCACATGAACTTACCTCTTCTATCTGACAGAAACTACAATGAAAGCAGTTTTGACCATTTTGATGTAGTAGAACCATCTACTTGCCCTTATGAAGAAATAACTTTGCCATGGACAGCTGGTGAAAAAAATTATTTATGTACAATTTTAAAATATAGATTTGAATGATTTTGGCAGTATGTAAATAATAATATAAAATCCAATAATGTTTCAGTTCCTACAACTATACAAAAGCTAAAAAGGTAGCACTGTTGCAATAAATAGTGCTGAAACTGAAAGGGGTTTCAATTTAATGAACACAGTTTGTACAAAGGTAAAGAATAGCTTAACAATAGATCACATATCAGATCTAATGGCAATAAACTTAATGGGGAAAGAGCAGATTGGGATGCAACTCCATTTGTAAGATCTTGGTCAAATTGCAAATCAACAAAGCCTTGTTATCAGAAACAATTAGCTATTTGGAGTTTACAATAAAGATTATTATATGTATTTTTAAATCAATTATCAATGATGTGCTACACAGCCTTTATATAAGGGAACTTGGAAAAGTGGAATTCGAAGATAATTCTTGCATGAACTTTTTGAAGCACTTGGTGCACACACATTTTGGGACGTGATGAGATGCTGGTTGTTAAAACTTTTTCGTCACACTGTTTAAAAGACATTCTTGATAATGACTTTTTCAAAATTGTAGCAAGAATGGCTCATAATTAAGTGACTTTGAGGAGTCTTGTTCAAGCTTTCCAACGATTTCCCTTTTGATCTGTGGTATTTCAGTAACTGTGAAAGGGTAGCATGACTCGGTTAAATTCCAAGCCCTAGAGGAGACGTCAAAGGAAACGAAATAAACATGGCAAGCTTTTGGCTCCTGATCCTCTCATTTCCGTTGCTGCACTAGCTAATCATGGAACCACTTAATCATTCATAGCTATGAAGCATTTGAAATGAGGCCAGTAGAGCTAAGAAAGTGAATTTTAAATGTTACTTAATCTTAATTAAACATACTGAAGCAGTGTAAAGTGTTTTTATCTAACTGGGCATTATGATAGTCTTATTAGAAATGCATTTCCCTTTAATTGTTGAACTGCGTAAGATGTGATTGCTGCACTGTAGTATACCTGTCAAACCCTTGTGTTATTTCTGTTGTTGGGTGCTGTGGAGTCGGTTCTGACTCACAGCAAACCGATGAACAACAGACTGAAACACTGCCCGGAACTGCAACATCGTCACAATTATGTTGTTTTCCAGTGTTCCATAAAAACACGTCAGTAATCCAATGTATGTCAACAGATTGATTCAGTGCAATTTGTTTCCTTAAGAACCGGCATACCAGTGTTTGAATATGCAGATAATAGGAAAGGAATCAGTGATATTCAGTAAATCATAATTAGTAATTAAAATACTTATTTTAATTTTAATTAAATTATTTTTCTAGTGTAGACATGAATGTGAACGCACTTTTTAATTTAAAATAAAAGCAAACAGAAAAGAATCAAGTAGAGATACAAAAACTAATACTACAACTGGAAATGTAAACAAAAGAAATGAAATTATGTTGCAGGTTCACAGTGAATGGCAAGTACATACTGCTCTGGCAGAGCAAAACGAGCTCTCAAAAAATTATAGACTGACATTTGGAATGAAACATGTATTAAATCCCAACTAAGAAACATTATAAAGTGATAAATATCAAAGTAGTTTCCACAAATGCATAATAAATTAGATTCTTGCATGAAAAACTAGATTTTGAAGGGGCGCTGGTGGCCCAGTGGGATACGCACTGGACTGCTAACTTTAAGACCATTAGTTCAAACCCACCACCTCTCCTTGGGGAAAAGGTGAGATTTAGTTCCTTTAAGATTTACAACTTGGAAGCCGAGGGGAGCACTGAGTTGAAATTGGCTCATTGGCAATGACACTATGGTATAATAAGTTATTTCAGTTATAGAAACTTTGTTTTAATTAAGAAAAATGTCTTTAAAAAGATGTTTTTAAAAAGTGCAAGGTCTTATGGCATATAGCAGTTGCTTTTAGAATACTGGATATCTAACTATCAATTGATTAACAATCTAAAAAGCTGCAAGTGCTTCTTTAGCTTTAGGTGAGTCACGTTACGAAACACTGACCAACCAAAACGTTGAATACCGTTTATCTCAAAACTTAAAGATGCATGAAGAAATAACTTCATTCCCTAAAAATAACACATGTGATGTAGATGTTTTTTTATTCTCTTACTAATAAGAACTTGAGCTAGATGTAAAAAAAACTCATAATGAACAGCAGTTAGGCTAGGTTAGATTTTTGTTAAAATCTAATTTTACTGAAACTTTAATACTAACACCCGATGTTTCTCCTTATTTCTTCATTCTACTGCATGATACCGTCTGAAAATGTTTTTACTATTTCCTGAAATGGTCTCTGCAAGCATGGGTACAGTTAAATCATGGGTGCAGGATAGGAATGTAAACAATGAGTCAAGACCAGCCTATAGGACCAGCTACAAGAGAAAGGGTTTATTGTGTATACTCTACCAGTTGGTTGAACTATGGGGAATGTTACCAAAATCTATGGACTGTAAAGATTTCCTTGAAACAGCAGTTGCTAATAAGATACTAATTTAAGATAAAAATTACCATTCAATCTATGTTCTTCCACCCCCAATATTACTTGACGTATGAGTGAAGTCAAGGAAAGGAAAATGTGACTTGTAGTCTTCTGTGAGAAGTGTTAGAATTCATGTTATAATCAATTAATAAAAATGAATAAATGATTTTGTTTTTTCTAACAATCATTATGCACAAGAACTAGTCACAGGTTTTGTGATGTAAATCAATTGCAAAAGCTACAAGGAGAATCTGAAAAATGCTTTCTTGAGAAACTGAGAGTTGCTTTTTAACTTTCTCAACAGCCCTCTGATATATTAACAATAAAGAACTAACACAAGATTTACCGAATCTGCCAGGTTTCCAGGCGGATAAGTTTTTATGTCAAAGTCAAATCAGTTCTTAAAATAAGATGATGGGTTTTTGTGTGATTTTTTTAAAAAAATTTACTGTGGATATAATTCACTGTGCAAATAACAAAGAAGAATAATCACCTGGTATTTGACTCAGTATTAGAAAATTTATAACTGAAAAAATTTGAATATGTGAAGTTATTTTTTAATTATAAATTTAGTAATTCTATATGCAAATCAAGTAATTATGATGAAAAAGACATTCAGTTACATTGAGATGTACTGAAAGTGTAATTAAAATATAAAATACATTTTGGATTCTAAAGACAATGGATCCTATCATATTAACTATATTGATAATATCTTCAAATACTATTTTGGATATATTGAGTTAAAACATTTAAAATTTTTAATGTATTTTTAATTTAGAATTATGCATAGAGTTTGCATTGTAATTCTGTTGAACAACACTATCCAATATGATGGTTACCCTAAAATCCTGGTTTCTCTAATCCAAATCTCACTTGTGACTTTAGGGTTCATAATCACCTGCTTTTTTATGTTTTCATATGGTTCCCCCATCGGCATCTCTAACTAAATTAACTTGAGGGCTGAACTAATCAGTTCCTGAGTACCTGTTCTGGAGAATAGTATAACTGTCTCCTTTGTTGCTGAAATTGAAAATGTAGACCCTGACACTTGAAACCTTTTCTTGACCTGTCTCTTTCATCTTGAAAACATCTAGTCCATTGTAATGTGCTTGGCAGATAATGCATCTTCACAATTTGAAAAGTTGTGGTCACTCTGTGCCTACCTAGCAAATCTGATGGCCACCATTTTTCCAACAGGTGTTCATTCGTGTCTCTGAGTCACATTTTGGAAAGCAGCTGTGCTCACCACGATACCACCAACACCACACATTACAATGTCTCAAAAGCTTTCATAATACTATTGAGAACATACTATAGTGGAGTGTAAACAAAACAAACACATGCACCAGGAAGCAGTTCATTTGGCTTGCTTGTTTTGGGTATTTGTTTTATTGTTGTGGTCTGGAACCAAACCCGGAATATCTCCTACTAAATAAAACTGAAAACTCGTTGCCATTGAGTAGATCCCAACTCATAGACAGGGTGGGCGTGCGCCTGTGGCTTTCCCAGGTTGTAACCCTTTACTGGAGTAGAAAGCCTCCTCTCCTGAGGTGGTTTCACAATGCAGACAGCGTTTAGCAGTCCAACGTGCAGTGTAGCTACTATGCCACCAGGTCTGCTTATATTGTCTTCTAGGAGCATGTGCCTATATTTGAGTCTGTCTATGTCCTTACTTTTCTTACCCAGACTACTGGAATAGCTTCTTGAGAAGCCCTTGCTTCCATTCTTGACCTTGAAAATCTATCCTCACTAACAAAAATGACCACTCTAAAATAGATGTTTATTCTTACAACTTTTCTTAGGAAGGTGCTCAGACTTAAACCTAGTTTAAATTATTCAGATGGGTGAGTTCTCATAACTGGACATCTGAAGATGGCAGCAGGCTTGGGCAGTTCAGTGCTGTCATTGCTGTGTGTCCGGGATGATTTTGGTTTTTCCTTCATGGTTGTAGCAAGACGGGTGGCATGGTTTTACTCTTTTTTTTTTTTTTTTAATTTAAGGTAACAAGGAAAGGAGTAGAACAAGATCTGGAGATTTATCAGGAAATTATAGCTTTGCTGGGTGCTTTTACAAGTAGATTTATATTTCAGTGGCCAGAAGTATTTCAACATAGCCATCTCTCACTGCAGGAGAGGCTTGGGATATGAATTTGGATATGAGCGTTTACCTTTTGTGTACAACCCAATCCCCAGAAGATTATAAATAAACAAGCATACTAAAGATGAAGAGAAGGCAGACCAGTAGGGAATCCTAGAACCCAAGAAATGAAAAGATTAGTGAGTTCCCTTTGGTCTTTCCGTTGACTTTAAATCTTAATTTGGAGCCAAAGAAACTCGCAATCTGGAAGCACCCCTCTTAACTGTAAATTAGCAAATGAATGAAAGACATCCCTCCAAAACCTTGCTTTCTCTATCAAGGAACTAAGAAAGGGACACAGTAGAAAGACAGAAAACTAAGACAATAACCATAACTACTCTACTGTAGCCACAGATTTCACAAAAAACAAGCAGAGTGTAGGTAGCCTGGCCCTCAAGCTTCATCTGCCTCTAATGAACTGATACTGACACTACCACCCAAGCTGGGAAGGTATCAGGTGAGGCCTTAGAGAGGTTCATAACTTTTAACATGGTTCCAAAGTACTGATACCACCTGGCCCCACCCCACCCCCACCTTCAATTTCAATATAGACTGACTAGGCAGTATGGACTTCAGACCTAGGAATAATAAAGCAGCACCTTTTTTTAGCTGATGGAATAATGCCAAATTAACCAAAGCATAAGGGTTAATTAAATAAGAACCTTATAATGTAAGAACCTCAGAAATAATCTCATAATAATGTCAGGTTCAATTTAAATCATTCTTCAAAC